GACCACAGTTTAATCTTATGTAAAAGTAAGAATAAAAATCCTCTTCCTCAGGGATAACATCTTGCAGGATAGTGAAGATTCACCTGAAAATGTATGTGAAGGTACATAAAAGTAAATGGGCATTCAGTAATTTTCTTTCTTTCACTACTAACTCCATCTATTGCAGTGGATGCTCAGTAAATGTTACTGACAAAGAAACTTAATTCCTTCTAATAACATACCATAACCCAATGATAGCCATTTTCTCTATTACAAATAAAGGGAAATTCGCTTGACTTAATGAAGAAAAACAAGACAATCAAAACAAAATTAGACAGTAATGTAATGCCAAAGCCAAGGCCTCTCTAGAGATAGTTTAAATCTGGATTTAAATTTTGCTCCATTTCAGTGGATTTCTGGGATGTTCGTAGTAACCTATTTCCTAACTAAGGTAGTGATTATAAGGGTGTGTTCACTTTGGGATAATTCATTGAACTATACAGTCAAGATTTGTGCATTTTATATATATGTGTGTGTGTGTGTGTGTGTGTGTATGTGTATATCTATGTGTGTGTATATATGTATATATGTACATATATGTGTGTATATATGTATATATATGTGTACATATATATATACACACGCACACACACACACATATACATACACATATACAAGAAGCCTCTCGCTTTCAGTCCAAGCTCATCACACCTCCCTCTCTGCCACCCTCACCAGAAAGGTAAGACATAATGTGGAACATAGAAAATATTAAAAATCCTGTCAGTTTAGGAAAAAGTTACTAGATTTAGCAAATGAAAATACAGAATGCCCAGTTAAATTTGAATTTCAGATAAACAATGAATTTTTTAGTATTATCCCATGCACCATTTGTAACACATATATTTGTAATATACGTTTATAACATATACACTAAAAATTATTCACCCTTTATCAGAAATTAAATTTTAACTGAACATCCTGAATTTTGTGTAGCAACCATAGTTTCAGAATTCAAAAGAAGTAAAAATCACAAAGAACTGTGCTAGAGGTGCACAGGAACTATTTTCTCTTTTCCTAGTCAATTTAATCGCATAAATCTGATCACTAAGCGATGAAAGAGAGGTATAAGACTAGCTTTTAAATCTTAGTTTTGGTAAAGTTTGGTCAGTTATTCTCTGGGACTTTAAATTCTAGGAACCTGAGAGTACTAGATGTCAATATCGTACTTTCACATTTTGTTGTGATAGCTGTCTGTACAGGAAAAAATGAAAACAAATAGGCCCTCGAAAAGCAGTAACCATGATGTCATCATTGACTCTATCTCTCCTGAATACTGAGAAAGCCTCTAACTGGTCTTCCTGCTTCTGCCCTCACCTCCTCTGGAGCGTATTTAACGCAGCAGCAGCGCTGAGGCTATGAAAATCATGTCCTATTGTTCCTCTGCTTAAAATCCTTCAATGCCTTCCTCTCTCACAGTGAAAATTAAAGTCCTAAATAAGACCCACAAGGCCTTTATGATCTGACTCTAACATTACTCCTAAATCCTCTTCCCTTCAGTTTCTCCATCCTTGCAAGTCATCCTGGCCTCCTTGCCTCTTCTCCAGACACCTCAGATAAACTTCTTCCACTTAGTATCCCTCTTGCCTGGAATGCTCTTCTCCCAGATATTCGCATGGCTAGCTTCTTTAGGTTTTTTTCTTTTTTTCTCAAAAGCCACCTTCTCAGTGAGACTTTTCTTGGCTACCCTATCTAAAATTTCACCTCTACCTACCTTTCACATCCCCTTTCTCTTGCTATATCTTTTTCCACTTAGCATTTATTCACTAACAACACATATATGTTATTTGTTTGTTTGTTTTTACTTTTCTTCCATGAGATTGTAAACTTCATGAGGGCAGGGTTTTTGTCTATTTTGTTCATTACTGAATCCCTAATGCCTATCTACTATTTTATTTTATTTTATTTATTACTTTTTTTTACTCAACAAATATATGTGTTGCATAAATGAATCCTAGAAACCTGGAATTTAATGACGAATTTGGCTTTAGGAAGTCTCTGTTCCTGACTTATACTATAAAACTAGCTTGTTGTTTAATTAGAGGTTATTATTCCAACTCAGACGTTTTTGATTTATTCAGTTTTGTTTTTCTTACAGAGTGGTTATTCCTTCATCAGATACACCCCTTAGCAGAAGCTGGCTAAGATCATCCTGGAACTTCAAATTTCCCAGTATCAAAGATACAGTAAAACTTTGGACAAATAGAGTATGGTCTATATACAACTGGTGTCAGAACTGCGTAGCCCAGGTATGGATTTGACACATCTATTTTCAGCAATATGGTTTTTCTACACACTTGGTATGCGTGTTCACACATGTGTACCCTCAGGTCAGTGTAGTACTCAGACTAAGCTCAGATAAGATGAAATTATTGGGTCGTATCTACTTTTGCTTCAAAACACTTTCTTGTCCTTTTTTTTTTTCTTGTCCTTATCGTCATATTGCTTATCAGAGCCAGGCTTCTATATTTTTGATTTTCAGAGCTTAGAAGTACTGAAAGATACCATCTTTCCATCCCGTTTCTACCACCAAGAACTTCATAGTCTAAAACAACGGTTTTGCATTTTGGAAAGTGAATTGTGCAAGCTCCAGGAAGCACTAAAGGTTGGTATTGTCAATAAAAAACAAATTAAGTAAGGAAGGAAGGGGCTGTCCCCAATAGGAATCCCAATTTGCTTCTAACCAGAAGGAGGAATAGCTACAGGCCAGTGCTAGTCCTAGACCTGTTTGCCCTCAGATCTCTTCCTTAAAGTTTAGAGACTCAGTTTAGTATTGCAGGGGTGCTGACCCCTGCGGGCTATGTATTTCCCAAGCTCCATGTCACCTGGCTTCTATGTATTTCCCAAGCTCCATGTCACCTGGTTAATGGGAAACAATGATGAGAGATTCGGGAGAGAGAGAAGACAGGATGTTTTTCCTCTTCATTCTGTGTTCAACAATTTTTCCAGCAATGGTTGTAGTTATCTCCCTGACTCTAGCTCCCAAAAAGTAAATCTACCATATTTCTTGATCCCATGGGTTAACCTAGCTCCAGAGATCTGGTTCTACTGCTCTTCCCTTTGTCCCTCCAGCCTCAGGGTATTCATGGCTTTCTTCTGTTGCTGATCTCTGGGCTGCCTCACTATTCCCTCTGTGCTTCTCAATGATTTCATCAGCAGAGGAACAACCTGCCTACGTTATATTGCCCCTCTTTGACATACTTAGGGTGTTCTTATTTTCTTGACTATTAAAAGCAGAAAAAAAACTGTGACTACTCACCCTTTCCAAACTCTCTTAAGCAAAGCCCCTATTCTCAACATCCAAAACACAGAATAAATATAACACTCATTAGTTTGGAGAGAAGCTTCTGGGATTACATCCCTGCTTCCAGAGATATGTCCAAGTCTTAATCCCTGGAACCTATAAATATTACCTTATTTGGGGGAAAGGGTCTTTCAGATAAAATTAAGAATTTTGAGATAAGGAGATTATCCTGTGTTATCTGGGTAGACCCTAAATCCAATGGTAAACATCCTTATAAAAGAGACACAGAGCAGAACACACAGAAAGGGAGGAGCAGTGGGACCACAGAGGCAGAGATTGGAGTGCTGATAACAGCCAGAAGCTGGAAGAGGCAAGGAACAGATTCTTCCCTAGAGCCTTGATAGGGAGCGCAGCCCTCCTGACACCTTGATTTTGGACCTCTAGGCTCCAGCACTGCACTGTGAGAAAATGGATTTCTATTACTTTAAGCCACCAAGCTTATGATAATTTGTTACAGCAGCCACAGGAAACTAATACACCATCTTACTTCATAGGGTCACTGTATTCATTTGCTAGGGCTGCCATAACAAAATAACACGGACTGGGTAGCTTACACAGCAGAAATTTGTTTTCTCACAGTTCTGTAGGCTAGAAGTCTGAGATCAAGGTTTTGGCAGGGCTTGTTTTTTTCCTGAGGCCTCTCTCCTTGACTTGCCTTTTCACTGTGTCTTCAAATGGTCTTTTCCCTGTGCACGCCCATCCAGGTGTCTTTGCTGTGTGTTCAAACATCTTTTATAAGGACATCAGTCAGATTGGATTAGAGCCTACCCTGACAGCCTTATTTTAATCACATCTTTAAAGACCCTATCTCCAAATACATTATTAGGTGCTGGGGGTTAAAACTTTAATATATGATTCAGTGGGGGGTGGAGAGGTTGTATACACAATGCAGTTCAGACAGTTATGTTCTAGCCCCTTGGCCTTTTTATCAGTTCCTTGAATATGTTACATTCTTGGCTGTATTAAGCATTTTTCCCTCTACTAGGAACTCTCTTCCCCCAGGCCTTATCTCCCTTCTCCTGGTAAATCTCAATTCATCCTTGATATTATGTCTAAATGCCACTCCCTAGACTTCTCACTATTCATGCTCACACTTCATTGCTGGTATTGAATTACTATTTTGTTTTCTTTTGAGAGTGTTTGTGCGTGTTTAATGTCCGTCTTCCTCACCAGACTGTTAGCTCTATGAGGTGACAGACAGGGCTCACATTGTACCCATAGCACCTGGCATATAGCACACATAAAACAAATGTGTATATATATGTATGTATGTATGTATGTGTGTATGTATGTATGTATGTATGAATGAATGAATGACCCTGTGATAAATGAGAAAATATTATGAAGCACGTGGTATACTGAGAAAATATTCAACACAGTAGCTATTATTTTAATGAGGCTCAGCTGTAAGAACCCAATTAATCTCTTATTCCTTTGCCAAATGTAATGTCTTCTTTCAGACCATCTCAAGAAATTCTTCCTGTCCAAGCTGTGGTCAAAGGTGTTACATGAGTGGTAAACTTACAGATGTGCCTGCCTGTGCTCTAACCACCCCTGGAAAATCCCAAGCTGTACATCTTCACAGGGTGCCTCAGCCAGCTGCCCATCTTCCTCCTCCTCCTCCACCACTGCCACCCCCTCCACCTCCTCCTTTGCCTCCGCCTCCACCACAGAGAGCTCCTTTGCTGCTCAGAAAATCCAATCTCACTAAAACACTTCAGGTAAAAAAAAAAACTAGTAAAGGTGTGTTTTGGTCAGTATGTAATGGAGGAGTAAAGCCGAGTGGCCTTTTAAGGCTGGACTAAGGGCTTTGACAGGAAGACTATATTCTGTTCCGATTCCATATCTTAATTATGTCAATTATTGTGCTTATAAAAACTCAGTCCCCTGGGAACTCAAGAAAGCTAGGTTTAGAAATGAAAGTTACACACAATGCAAATATATATATGCCTTACTGTTAAATTGTATACCTGAAAATTTACTGGATTTCGTTAACCAATGTCACCATAAAAAAAAAAGTAAATCCTAGGGATATAATGTACAGCATGGTGGCTATAGTTAATAATACTGTATTGTATATTTGAAAGTTGCTAAAACAGTAGATCTTAAAAGTTCTCATCACAAGAAAAAAACGTGTAATTATGTGTGGTGATAAATGTTAACGAGATTTATTATGATGATCAATTTACAACATATACATATATTGAATCATTATGTTATATACCTGAAACAAATATATTAGATGTCAATTATATCCCAATAAAATAATGACAATTAATAATAAGTACAAATAAATAAAGATGATCTGACAACTATTTAAATTAAAAAGAAAAAGAAATGAAAGTTACTATTTTTGCTAAGTATAAATAAATGAAACCCAGTAGAGTAGAAGATTCTTGTTGGTCTCTCAGCATATCTTTTTACTAGAAGGAAACCTTCCTGAGAAACCAAATTAAGAACAGAAGAATGAGTGAACTCAGAATAAAGAGTTGGCAGATCCTAACATACTGGATCCCATCTGATCTTGGAAGCTAAGCAGGATCGGGCCTGGTTAGTACTTGGATGGGAAACCACCCAGGAAGACCAGGCGCTGTAGGCATTAAATAAATGAATAAATAAATAAGAGATTGTAAGCTGACAAGATCTTTGCAATCTGTGAGGTCAACCAAGAGTTGCTTCACCTAAAATAAATAAATAAATTAATTAATTGATTAAATAAAATAGCAGAGTTAAATCCAGAGCCTATTGTTATAGTTGCCCTATTGTATAACTCTCTGACTATACATTTTTAAATTTAATTTTATTTTATTTTAGGCGAGGCAAACCTTGGTTGACCTCACAGATTGCAAAGACCTTGTCAGTTTACAATCTCGTATTCTTTTTTTTTTAACGCCTACAGCACCTGGTCTTCCTAGGTGGTCTCCCATCCAAGTACTAACCAGGCCCGACCCTGCTTAGCCTCCAAGGTCAGCCAGGATCGGGCTTGTTCGGGGTGACATCGCCAGAGACTGACTATACATTCTTGCTCTGTGGGAACTGAGTTATCTTTTTAAGTAGTTCAGATAAAACTTAACTTTGATTTGAGGAACTTCTTCAACTCCTGTCTTATTATAAAAACTCCTGAGGAAGATGCAGGGAATTATTCTATCTCTTATTATTGAGTCATACATTTTAATGACTACTTTCAATAGCCTTAGCATCCATGGGTACTGAAAAAGAATTATTCTTGGTTGAGTGAAAAGAATTTGATAGGTTCCTAAGGTGAATAGAGAGAGTTAACTTTTAAATCCAAGTTGTTAAAAACTAGATTTAGATTTGCATTTGACTATGTATCACGGTTCCAAATTGAATTCTAATATCTCCATGTATGTTAAGGCTGAACCATTAAAAAAAGAGGGACCCATGCAGATAACAGTTAAAGATCTGCTGACTGTGAAATTGAAGAAAACTCAGAATTTTGATGAAAAGACGAAGGTAAGATGTCATTGACCATACACAAAGTCTTTTCAGCTACTAACCTGGTTATCCCTTTGTGGAAACAAAATATAAGTCTTATGTATAGAAGCCATTCTGAGGTAAGTATTTTATATCTTATTTGAGTAATTTTGGGTTTCCTCAACAAAATATATAGATCCCCAAATTATTTAATTATGCAGTCTCATCTGCCAGCCGTTAGTTTGAAGAGGTAGAGACATACTTTGAAGCTTTGGAATAAACATTGAGTGGAGTAGTGGATATATCTCACACATACTCAGCAGTCAAATATTCATTGTTTCAGCATGTTTACATTTTGAATGATATTTTAATATGCTTTTAATAATGTCTCATTTTGCTATTAAAGCTTGTTCCATCCCCAAAGGCACAGAATCCACTAGTTACAGCCTCTGACCTGCAGCGTGTTACCCTGAAGCCCAGCTCCAAAGTGTTATCAACTCGAGTTACAAATGTCTTAATGTAAGGAATTGCACAGTATTATGCACTACCACTACTTAAAAGAATGATTTTTTGCTTATTTCTAACATTAAAAGTTATTTATGCTCATTGTAGAAAAATTGGTATCTACAGAAAAGTTTAAAGAATAAAATCAAAATCATCCAAATAAACATATCATTGAAGATAGCTACTGTTAACCTGTTTTCATTCTGATCTTTTTCTAGCCATATTTTTATTTTTTATTATAAAATACACCACTGATTTAATAACAGATTTGGGGAGGGGGAAGAAATACTATCAAAAATTTTAGTCAATTATACCTCAATAAAAAATATTTTTAGCAAACTATATAAAAAAATTTTCTTAAGCAGTTCAATTTCAGAAATAATAAAATATGAAAATTAGTATGTGTTAGAATCAAGGAAATATAATGTGTGTATATACCTGTGTATAATTATATTGTAGATACAGTTATGGCTTTTCCCGTTAATGTGTCATGAGCTTTCTCCCATCTTATTAAAAATGAGTTTAAAGCATCATTTTGATTTCTTCAATACATACAGTTTATTTTATGTAAATTTCATAGATTAAAATCCTGTTTTGAGACGTTTAGGTTGCTTATGATTTCTTATATCTATAACTCTTCTATGAACATCCTTGTCCATCATCTATGTGCATAGCTGAGTTTTTCCCTAAGATAGATTCTTATACATTTAATTACTAAGTCAAGAAGTATTACTTGTTGGAATGATATGATATCACCTTACGCTCCTATCAGCACCTACTGCTGTTTTTTAATGTACCAGATAGAATCACTTTCTGAAGTGTTGCCTATAAATATAACTGCTTTACTTTGGGGAAAATGATAAAATCTAGCAAGCTCTAATTTTTATGTCTTTATTTTATCAGTACTCCTGGTAAAAGTCAGATAGATCTGCGGAAACTATTAAGAAAAGTCGATGTAGAAAGGTAATATACTTTCTTGTCTTGATGCTTTCTAAATTCATTTGATAATTGGCATAAAACACAGTTTCTAATATTTTTATTACCTTTGCAGGAGCCCAGGTGGGACCCCACTTACCAATAAAGAAAATATGGAAACAGGAACTGGACTGACCCCAGTAATGACTCGGGCCTTGAGGAGAAAATTTCAGGTATGCCTTTAGAAAAAAAATTTGGTTCCTTTTCAAAACCATTTATTTAGAATTATAATCTAAGGCAGCTTTCTTAATAATAATAATTTTTAAATGTTACCTTATGCTTTACAAAACACTTTCATATTTAGGCTTCATAAAATTCTATGAGGTAGTGAGGATTATCTCCAGTTTAACAATGAATGTCTGGTTTTTTTAATTCCCTTATTAAATATTTATTAAACACTTCCTGTATGCCAGGCACTGTGCTGGAGTACCAGGGATATTAGTGTTAAGCAAAAATAGACCCAGATCTACTGTCTTGGAGCTTTCAGCCTAGAGGAGAAAATAGATGTTAATCAAATAATCAGCTATTTGTATAATTTTGCATTGAAGTAAGTGCTGTGAAGGAAAAGAACAGGGTTCTGTGGGAACTCACAGAGGAACTTTATCCAGCGTGGATGATTTACGAAGGAATTCCTTAGGAAGTGATGAAGTGAGACCTGAAAAATGAATAGACATGAACTGGGAAGGGTATCTGTGGCGTGTGGAGGTGGGCCCACCATGGATGTCAGGGAAGAAAGAGTTCCCAGGAAAAAGAACAGTGTGTGTGAAGATCTCATGGTGGAAGGGATCACGGCCTATCAGAGGAACTGAAAAGAGATCAATGTGACTATAACAGAGAGAGTTTGACAGTGCTGAAAGACAGGGAGAGAGATGTAGACAGGAGTCAGGTCACGCAGAGTTGATAGGAAAAGGTCTTGGCAGATCTTTTCTTTGTCACCTATATGTATGACCGACACACCAAAAATCTAGTCCATCAGCTGACCTTGCATGATTTCTTCCAAACCTTGTTATCTCTCCTCTCCCTGACCACCTCTATTGTTGGTTCTGAAAGGAACAGCCATCCTTCCGCTAACCCTGCTGAAGTGCTGGGACATTAGGCTGCTGACCTCTTTGACTATAAGCTTACATTTCTATCTCCCTCTGGCAACAGAGACACATCACAGATTCCACTGCTGACACTCTCCCCACCCAACACTGCCCTCCCTTTGTTCCCTTGTTAAGAATCAGTGCCTTTTACAGGACAGCTTGCTTTCCCTCTTGCCAATTCAGCTTGGTCCTCCTGGGCGCTATATGGCCTTCTTTGGAGGTATGGCCAGATTCTTCTTTCCTCTTTTTGGAGCATCCAATAGGATTCTACTTTCAGATCACATTCCTTGGTAACCACAGACTGTGAGGGGCAGGGGCAGAGGGCAGAGGCCTCTTCCTCTAACTTTTCTTGTTCAGCCTAGGATCCTTTTTGTCCCATCCCCACCCATAACTACTATAGTGGGCTAGGTAATATGGAAACAAATGAAAATATAATAAATAATAAACCTATATATTGAGCAACAATATCAAAATCACAAATAAGACCTATGCCATATGTTGTGCTCCCCAAAATCCACTTACTAGGAGGATGTCTAGTAAAAACTATTGGTAGACAGAACAACTTTTCCCACCCAGCCCTTAGGCTCCCTTTTTCCTTTAACCCTGAAGCAACTGTGTTAGGTTTTGCATTTGGCTACAGGTAACAGAAATCTGGCTTAACCAACTAGGGGCTTATTTTTCTTACCTACATATTCCCTTGGGAAGCAGGCAGTCCATAACTGGTAATAGCAGCTTCACCATGTCATCACTGCTCTTCCATCTTTAATACATGGCTTTGGTCATGGTACGGAATGGCTACCTGTCCTAAAGCCACATGTCTACATTCTAGGCAAGATAAGGAAAAGGGCAAAGAACAAAAAGGTGTACTAGCTAAGATACCCCCTCATTTCTTTAACAGGTGCTATCCAAGAACTTCTGATTGTATCAGGGAAGGTGGGAAAGTGATTTTTAGAATCTGGATGCATTGCTGCCTTACACAAGATCTGAGTTCTGTTAGTGAGGAAGAAGAAAAGTTGTATTGGCCTCAGGAACATAATTCATATCATAATTGGGACTTTTTTTTCATAGCTGGCTCACCCTAGAAGCCCAACGCAAACTCTGCCACTCTCTACAAGCAGCTTTGATGAACAAAATTGATGCCAATTCTGTCTGACTCCATGTGATGATCCGTAAAATCTACAGATAAAATCACCCCAATCCTTTTTTTTAATGTAGTAGAGTATGTATCAATAATTATACTAATATATAATTCCATTTAAAGACTTAAAATATGTGCGGAGCCCATACATACTGTGGTATAAAGTCCATTATTGGGTATTTTCTATTTTGCGTTATCAATAAGAGAACAGAACAGAAAATGCAATCCCCAAAGAGATGTTTATCTTGGAATTACTCAATTTAGGGTAGAGATATTGTTCAAACTTAACTACATAACTAATTTGTATCTGTAAGCACAGTTATGACATTAAGATAATAACCTAGTTTCTATTTATCTTGGGTATTCTCAGATAATTGAAAAGCTTTTCAGCCTGTAAATCTCAAGCATTCATTAAGTGCTACAAACTTGATCAATAAAAAAAAGGCCCTTTAGATTTGATTTCTGTTCACTCTAAACAATTAAGAGGTAAGACCATCTCCATCCAAACCTAACTATATTCCAAAAGACTTGGAAGCAAAAGATCCAATGTGACCTTAAAAATTAGAATGTATCATTTCTAGCATCTTAGGCTCACTGAAGTCTGTGATATTCATTATTTTGATGTCTGTTGTCCACATTCATGCAACTAAATGTAAATTTCATAAAGTCTTCAAAATGTACCTTGTATTTTCCACAGCACCCTGCCAAGGATTCTCTGAGGTCCCTAGCAGGTTCCCTGTTAAACCTGACTCGCTGTCAACAGCCTGTTGATTCAATGATAGTAATAATGCACACCTAACTGGATTTGTGTTCTTTCCTGCAATTCCAGGGTTGCCAGATTTAGCAAATATAAATACATGACACCCAATCAAATTTGAATTGCACATCAACAAATAATCGTTAGGTATATATGGCCCATTAAACAATGAATAATATTTTTAGTTTAAGTATGTCCTAATTATTGCATGGACATATTTATACTAAAAAAAAAAATTATTCATTGTTTACCTGGAGTTTAAATTAACTGGGCATCCTGTATTTCATTTGTAACCCTATCAGTCACTCCCCTATAAAGTTGCCAAGTATTTCTGCCAGACATGTCTACTTAGCAGTGGACAGTACTATAGCTTCCACCAGGATTCGTCACTCATGTATTAAGTGTCATGGAGAAGGAGAACTCATTATGGTGAGGGTGACCAGAGGTGCAGAATTAGCTTTGATGCTAATAACCTCCACTGCAATTCCAGGAATAAGGATAGCACTGCTTCATGGATAGAAAACAAGGGATTTTAGATCATCACTGCACTTTTTAGCCTGAGAGGAGACATAGATGATATCCTTGAAATATTCTATGATTAGCTTAGGCTAAAAAGATACTTTAGCAGTTTCCCAGAAATGCCTATATTCCCGCAAATAAATATTGCTCTGAGATGCCAAATAGTGTTATAAAAGTCACCAGACTGGAAAGCAGACCTGGGGACACTGTTTTGTTTTTATTATGAGACCCACATTTATGTTTACAGCACATTTATGGATGAAAATTAAACGGATAATGAAGAAATATAAGTACTTCTAGTAAGTTTTTTTTTTGACTTGCTAGCTACGTTTATATTATGTGTGAATAAAGGTAATGGTCACTGAGAATAAAGCCGTTGAGTATTTGTAACAGAATATTTTATAGGGCACTTATAATGTTTCTAATATTAATAAACCACTGTGTACTGTATCAATTTAATTTAAATGATTTGATCATTCTTGTGGAATAAAGATTCATTCTAAAATGCTGTAGAAATCCTATAAACATTTGTAAAGCCGCTATTTCCATTGTACCAGTATTAAAATGTGTTCTACCTTGCCTCGTTTATTAATTTTTGTGACAGATTTTATATTGTACCCATTTGAGAATCCTGTAAATACTATTCCTTCATTAAACTATTGCCGATTATATGCTTTCAATGTTTATTTTAGACTGAATGACAACCACAGAATATAAACAACCAAGGTGCCTCTGGTTATGTTTTTAAATAAAGAGTAATAAAAAACTTTGGTTTTTCTCTTTTTTATATGTTTTTTACTAGAACTATAACGCAAACAAAAAAGGTGCATAAAACATAAATATATAAATTAACAAATCATAAGGCAAACAGTCATAAAACCATCAAGAAAGAGATATTATAAGTGTCTTTAGAAGCCCTGTCTCCCTCCCCTACCATAGTCCCTTTTCTTTCAAATTACTGACCTGCTTGTTACAATAAATATTTCCTTGCTTTTACCTTCTAAGTGTAAGAGTGCAGACCCAAATGCTATGATTTGTTTCTCTTGCTTCTGAATTCTGTATATAGAAATAAAACCATACGTTATATAGTCTTTTGTTTCTGGCTTCTTTCAATCAACATTTATATTTAAGATTCAATCATGTTATTGTGTAGTGCTACAGATCATTTATTTTTGATGTATAAATATAGTTATTCGTTTATTCTATTGTTAATGGACATTAGGATTGTTTCCAGTTGAGGGCTATTATGAAACATGCATGCCAACGTAAACATTCTTGAACATGTATATATTCACAAGAGTCACTCTAATAACTCTTGTGTATATATCTAGGAGTGGAATTGCTAGATTATAAAGTGTGCCTATTTTCTAGATACTGTCAAACTGTTTTTTCCAAATGATTGTACCAATCCATGGTTTCTTCAGCAAAGTATGAGAGTTCTTGTTGCTCCTGTTTTCTTTAAGAAAGTCTTTTCTATTTGATTTTTCAACATTTTACTTACTTGGAAATCTGTAGTCAAAGAATTGTTTTAAAAAATCTTATTTCAGCAAAGTCACCTACTAAACATAGTAAATGATCTACATGTGAGGACCACAATATAATTTACATGGATGAACATGTAGAATTTTTCATTTTTGTTGTCTTTTCCAAGAAAAATGGGATCTGGGCATGTAGAAGTAGAGAAAGAAACAAGTAAAAATCAAATAGACAAAAAATACACATAAAAACCCATTCCTACTTTTTCTAAATTATTGTTAATAAAGAGGAGTTAGTTGAGAAGAATTAGTGGAAGCCCAGTATAGCTTAATATATTAAAAACACCACCAACCACAAAGTAGGGCCCTACCCTTCCTTTGAGAATAAATGAGATAATTCTTTTTTCCCCTAGTCGTATTGAGATATAATTGACATATAACACTGTAGTAGCTTAAGGCATACAACATAATGACTTAATATATTAATATATTGCAAAATAATTTCCACAATATAGTTTACATCCATCACCTCATAGTTACAATTTTTTTCTTGTGGTGAGAAATTTTAAGATGTACTCCCTTTCAAAAATACAATACAGTATTGTTAACTATAGTCACCATGCTGTACATCACATCCTCAGAACTTTTTATCTTATAGCTGGAAGTATATACCTTTTGATCACCTTCACCCATCCTCCAAATCTGTTCTCTATTTCTATGAGTTGTTTTTTAGATTCCATATATAAGTAAGATTATACATAAATGAGATAATTGTTGATAAGGACAGAGTCACACGGTAAGTAATCTGTTCAATTATTTTGTTGTCATTATTTGACATTCCAAGTGAGAACTCATTAAACACAAATGATCTAATTCTTCTTTAAAGCCAAGAATATTTCAAAAAACAATCTAACAATTCAAACTTCCAATCAATTAAATCAAATATTGAGTGAAGACTTTCCACATTTCTTCAAGGAAGAATTTTTAAATATTATTACAAATTGAAGGAAATGTTTATTGTAGAAAAATTAGAAAATAGAGATATATCCACCCAAATACTTGCACACAGATGTTTGTAGTAGCTTTATGTATAATTTCCAAAACTTTGAAGCAACCAAGATGCCCTTCAGTACGTGAATGAATAAATAAATTGTGGTACATCCAGATAATGAAATGTTATTCAACGCTAAAAAGAAGTGAGTTATCAAATCATGAAAAGACATGGATAAAATTTAAATGCTTATTAAGTGAAAGAAGCCAATCTGAAAAGGCTATGTACTTTACAATTCCAACTATATAGCATTTTGGAAAAGGTGAAACCATGAAATTAGTAAAAAGATTGGTGGTTGCCAGAGCTTGAGGGAAGAGAAAATAAACAAGCAGAGCACAGAGGACTTTTAGGGCAGTAAAACTATTCTAAATCCGTATGTCCAAACCCATAGAATGTACAAGAACAAACCCTAATGTAAACTAGGATTTTAGGGTGATAATAATATGTTCATGCGGGTTCATAGATCGTAACATGTACTACAGGGAGTCAGGGTGGGGCTGTGCCTGTGTTGGGGCTGAGGGTACACAGGAACTTTGTACTTTCTGCTCAATTTTGCTATGATCCTAAAATTGTTTTAAAAAATAAATTCTGTTAAAAAAGAAACAAAAAAAAAAAAGAGAGAGAGAAGAAAAAAAAGTAAACAAATCCCAACATGTTTTAAACATTTTGGTATATATTCTTCCAAGCCTGAGAAATTATTGTTCTAATGCTCATACTCCGTACGAGCTGGCTTTCTTTTCCATTGATTGAGTGAACTATATTTCTTTATGAAATAGGACAAAAGAAGGGAATTCGTTCACCTTGCTTTGAAAATGTTTCTAGAGCAGTATTTCTCAAATTGTAATGTACAAAAAACTAAGATTTTTAAATTTATTCGTTTTTATTCATTTTAGAATTCATATACTGAGTGCAAGCACACACAGCACCTACTGAGTGCTAGCCTAGTTAATAGTGATGGAGAATAGGGCTGGGCATGTGAACAATGAGGGAAAACCTCGGTGTGTTAAGAATCTTGCAATTTCCACAGCAATTTACAAAGCACTTTCATAGTAGTTACATCATTTGGTCTTCAAAAGCACCCTGTGGGGTAGATAAAGGCGGGTATTTTTTTCAATCCCTTTAAAAAAAAAAAAATAATAATAATAATAGTTTATTTGAGCCAAACTGATGGCTGGGAGCAAGATCTCAAACGCTCCCTAATCCCCATTTAGATCATGAAAGGAACTGAGACCTGGAGAAGTTAGCAACTTGTTTAAGGTCACACCCTTATTGAGAGATGGAGCCAGCACCTGGTACCAGACCCCCAAGACCACCTTGGGCAGCTGGGATTTTAAACAGACAAATCACTAGTATTTCATTGAAATGCATGTTCTGACTTCAGTATGTCTCGGTTGGGGCCTGAGATTCTGCATTTCTAACAAGCTCCCTCTTGTTACAAAAGTAGAATATACCTTGTGTAGCAAGGTTTTGGAGCTGAAACTGGACTAGTTTTCTACTTTTGGAAGTCACTTGATACTTTTTTTTGCAGTGTTTTTATATTACTTAAAATGCAAACTAACTGCTTCCAATTGTCTTTTTGATACCTCAATTTCTACAGTCTGGGTTTAAGGAAAATCTTAAACCGGCTGTGGTGTAGGACTAAGGAAAACCTTGACGGAAAACTAGGGCAGGAGGTGCGGAAGGCGGAACCTAAAGTGAAAGAAAAGCAGGAACTGAAGAAGCGGAGGAGGGATTTCAAAACTGGACGAAAGCCGGTTGGGTTTACGGGGAGGACCGGAAGGACTCTAGAGAAGTGTGTGTACCATGGCGGGCCCTGTCAGCTTGCGAGAGCTTCTGATGGGAGCTTCAGCCTGGACCAGCACTGAAAGTTCCGAGGGGTCGCCTACAGAGGGCGGAGCGAGTGTGGCCGGAGGACCGGAGCCTCCTTGGCGAGAGGATGAGATCTGCGTGGTGGGAATATTCGGCAAGACGGCTCTGCGACTGAATTCCGAGAAGTTCTCACTTGTGAACACGGTGTGTGACCGACAGGTCTTTCCCCTCTTTCCCCATCAAGATCCTGGGGACCCAGAACCTGGAATTAGGACCGAGACTGGCACCGTCGGGGAGGCTGGTGGAGCCGGAGACCCCGGGGCTGGGGCCACGGATCCAGTTCAGGGAGGTGTAGCTGCCGCGGAAGGTAACCAAACTGAGCCAGGCTCCCAGGACTACAGCCTTCTGCAGGCCTATTACAATCAGGAAAGCAAAGTTCTGTATCTTCTTCTCACTTCCATCTGTGACAATTCCCAGCTTCTGCGAGCTTGTCAGGCCCTTCAAAGCGGGGAAGCTGGGGGTGGCCTCGCTTTACCTCATGCAGAAGCGCACGAGTTCTGGAAGCATCAAGAGAAGCTGCAGTGCCTCAGTCTCCTTTACCTTTTCTCCGTTTGTCACATACTGCTTCTGGTCCATCCCACTTGTTCCTTTGACATCACTTATGATCGAGTATTCAGAGCCCTGGATGGACTGAGACAGAAAGTACTGCCCCTCCTCAAAACAGCCATTAAGGATTGTCCAGTTGGCAAAGACTGGAAACTAAATTGCCGACCTTGCCCTCCTAGACTCCTTTTCCTCTTTCAACTCAATGGAGCCCTCAAAGTGGAACCCCCTCGGAACCAGGACCCAGCTCATCCAGACAAGCCCAAGAAGCATTCTCCCAAAAGGAGACTGCAGCATGCCCTGGAGGACCAGATCTATAGAATCTTCCGGAAGAGTCGCGTCTTAACTAATCAGAGTATTAACTGCCTTTTTACTGTGCCTGCCAACCAAGCTTTTGTGTACATAGTTCCGGGAAGTCAGGAGGAGGACCCAGTTGGCATGTTGCTGGATCAACTTAGGAGTCATTGTACTGTCAAAGACCCGGAATCTTTACTGGTACCCGCACCCCTTTCTGGGCCCAGGCGATACCAGGTGATGAGGCAACACAGCCGACAACAACTTTCTTTCCACGTTGACAGCAGCAGTTCCAGTTCTTCAGGACAGCTAGTGGATTTCACTCTTCGGGAATTCCTATGGCAGCATGTGGAGCTAGTCCTGAGCAAGAAAGGTTTTGATGACAGTGTGGGCAGGAACCCGCAGCCTTCTCATTTTGAACTTCCTACTTATCAGAAGTGGATCTCAGCAGCTTCAAAACTGTATGAAGTAGCTATTGATGGGAAAGAGGAGGACGTGGGATCTCCCACCGGGGAGCTAACATCTAAGATCTTA